TAATCTTGTGCTCTAGATGGACAGGAAGGGGAAGTTATTATTGATGAATACATTTAGGAACATTTCATGCAGGTGACAGCTTTTTAAATAGTGAACATAATTTTTCAAAGTGGTCTATCCTTTTCATGATATTTTATGGGTCCTAGAACAGGAGTTAGTTTATTTCTTCTTGTAAAGCAAACTGACTGGGGGAATCTATTGTTAAACTCAGGAATTCATTAGTGATCATCTACTGAGAGCCCATGCTGTGTTCAGTATTGTTTTTGGAATATAACTAAATCAATCTCTTGTCTGGAAATGTAGGTATGGTCAAAGTCTGTACCTTCAGGATAGCAACCAGCTGTCGTATTAGATGTTATCCTGGACGCCCAAATTCAGATAATAAAGTAGTTGCTATTTATATAAATACTAATATTGATGAGTAAAATCAGAAACATCGTATCATTGCCTTTGCCTGGATATTAGAAATTTGCATGTAATTTTTTTTTTCAGGTTTTGCTTCAGTAAAGTCTTAGAAGATGGTTCAAGCATTCACACAAAATCTATAGCTGTTTTGCATAAAAGCACTGTGATGGGTGGTACTAGCAGTGGGTGTTTTTGTTTTTTGGTTTTTGGATTTTTATAGACTTTGTGTGCAAGATCTGAAGTAAAATAGACTCCCCACAGTTTTCATGTTCTCTTACTGCATTTGTGGGTCTTGTGCCCTAGAGATTCTAACCTGGACTTCTCGTCTTCAGGGAGCCACCAGGGCAGTTTCGACCTGCCTGGTTTGTGTGGGAGGTTCCTTTACCCTTTAGGGTGGGGAGGCAGGAAAGAGAGATCTTAATCAGCCTTTTTTCTTAAAATCCAATTTACATGGTAATACTTTGAATTGGCTTATTGCTGCTCTGTGGTATTGTTAATTCTCCTCTGAGGTAACACTGAAATAGCTTTGCACAGTGCACATCAGAGCCAGGTTTATCCAGGGCACAATTATTGGTAACTGAAAGCTCTTCCCAGTACCCCTCCATGACGACTTGAATTACAGTCAGCATTGGCAATTTCTGACGGTCTCTACAAAGACGCAATAAAAATGAAAAAAGATACTAAAAAAAGAAAACACAGAAGAACTTGTGTTACATTATGCCTAGTAAACTATTAATGTAATACTTTGGCATCATTACAAATAAAAAGATTTAGGGGAAAACTTCAGATATAGGATTAAGAAGTTAATAGGCCATGGTTACTAATTCACAAAATAAGCAGTTAGTGTTTCTATTACAGATTTTTTATTTTTTTATAGAATGAGTTTTTATTTTTTCATAGAATTTAGACCAAGAAATATATGCTTTTATGGAACTGAGACTATAAAATTTAAAGAGAACAATCTTAATTTTTCTTGAAGTCCTTTCCCTGAAAAATCAACAAAAGAAAAAAGAGGGAACAGAATTTATTGCCAAATTTGGGCCAGTCCCAGAAAACTGCCGGAGGGAGAGGAGTTTTTGTTGTGGGGAACCAGACCCAGAATTGCTTTTGAATGTTAAAATTTTTCTTCTCACACATTCCCATTATAATCAACTATTATCTTAGTGGGTCTATAAATAGTATTTATATGGGAAACAGACCAGAAAGCCATTCAAGTAAAATAGAAAACAGCAGTGTTAATTTTTACACAAAGAGGTGGGACAGTAAGACTGGAGTTTCCTTCCTTGTAACCAAGATCTGACTTAAGACAACTTTACAATTTACTCTTCAAGTGGTAGGTTGGTACTTTGGGGAGGCTTTTTCCTCACAGCTGTGAGAAATAATGCTTGGGGGTTCCGCGGGTCAGTGATCATTTTCTGGGCTGGACTAGTGGGAGGTTCTAGTGTGCTCCTGCCAATCTAAAATCAAGTTATATTTTTGTTTATTCCAAAATAGTGGTTGAGGGCAGCGCCTGTGGCTCAAAGGAGTAGGGCACCGGCCCTATATGCCGGAGGTGACGGGTTCAAACCCATCCCCAGCCAAAAAAAAGAAAAAAACAACTGCAAAACAGTCGTTGACAGGCTTCTGTGTGCTAAGTATTTAACCTTTTGGGAAATTTATAACATGGGATCTGTGCTTTCCTAGAGCATAGGCTAGGAGGAAAAGAAAGCAGTTGTAACATTTTATTTTTCATTATTTGTTTTAAAAGTTATAGTTTTTTAGGCTTAACAAAAACTGGCCAGCTCCTATCCTGCCAATCTCTACCACTTATTTTAATTGCCCAGAAAGACAACCACTTTGAATGTTGAGTCTTCTCTTCTAACTTTCTAAAGACCATGTTTATTCTGTTTCTTTTCTTTTTAGATATCATTTGGTTTCACACTGTTATCATGTACAACTTCATACCACCTTACACACTCCTCCTCTACTCTTAGGAGAGTTACCAGATTTACCAAGGTTTTGCTCTTGCTCAGGCTGGTTTTGAACTCCTGGACTCAAACAATCCACCTACCTCAGCCTCCCAGAGTGCTAGGATTGCAGGCGTGAGCCACCACTCAGTTTTTAATACTCATATTGTAGTGATTTTGTACATATTCCTTACAACTCAGCTACTTAGTTTATTATGATTTATTTGTATAAAATTTGTTTAAAGATTTATTTGTATAACTTTGTTTTCTAATCAGCTGGGAATTTTCTCTGCTTTTCTTTTTCCTTTTTTTTCTTTCTTTCTTTCTTTCTTACTGCACTCAAGCAACTTAAACTGACTTACCTCTTAGCTTCTTTCTCTGTAGACGTGTTCACCATTGCCTTCTGTCATCCAGAGTTTTGCTGATTTCTTTAAGCCCACCGTCAGAGAGCTTCAGGGGGCATAGGAGATTTTTTTTTTTGAGACACAGTCTAACCATGTCGCCTTGGGTAGAGTGCCTAGGTGCTACAGCTCACAGCAACCTGAAACTCTTGGGCTTAAGCGATCCCCTTGCCTCAGCCTCCCAAGTAGTTGGGACTACAGGTGCCTGCCATGATGCCCAGCTATTTTTTGGTCGTAGTTGTCATTGCTGTTTGGCAGGCCTGGGCTGGGTTTGAACCCACCAGCTCCTGTGTATGTGCCTGGCGCCCTAGCTGCCGAGCTACAGGTGCTGAACTGGCATAGTAGATTCTTGCAAAAACGAAGATAGAATGCTTTCTTATGGAAAAAATATAAAAAATGTAATGTTATTACACACGCCAGTTAAAATCTTCTTTAGAATTATTAATTTTCTGGTCAACTTAATGTTGTGAAAACTGGGATGAATTATAGTGTCAATTATCAACATTTTTGAAAAAAATTGAACTCATTTTTCTAAGCTTTTAAAAAAGTTATACTTACTCTAAGTCTGTTACTGTGTTTATCAGATTAACCTGAGTCTCCCAGGTAATCCTTTGATTTCTGTTATGGTAACTCTGAATAAAACTCAACATGACGTCATGGCAGGGATAGCCTTTCCCATCAGCTTGACTGGCGTGTGCCAGTAGCTCTGAAACGTGGAAAACAAAATCCTCGATTGGGATTTTAAGAACTTGAGTAGAAAATATTTTCCTTCTTCCCTAATGAGTTCCACCGATGAGACTCCTGATTTGTTTTTTCACTTTCTTGCCTTTTTTTATTGTAGCCTTTATGCCAGATTTACCACAGTTCTGGGCTCAGAGAATATTTGAATATTTTCAGCATTACTGTGGGTAGGGAAGTGACTGAGAACCTAATGAGTAAGGACATTAAAAGGAAAGTTTAGAGCTTAAACTAAAGTACTTTTTTGTGTGTGTGTGAGACAGAATCTTACTCTGTCGCCCAGGGTAGAGTGCTATGGGGTCATCACCGCTCACAGCAACCTCAAACTCTTGGGCTCAAGAGATTCCCTGGCCTCTGCCTCTCAAGTAGCTGGGACTACAGGTGTGTGCCAGCTGCCGGCCAGTTTTTCTATTTTTAGTAGCAACCAGGGTCTTGCCTTTGCTCAGGCTGGTCTCGAACTCCTGAGCTCAAGGAACCCACCTGCCTCGGCCTCCCCAAGTGCTAGGATTATAGGCGTGAGCCACCTCTCCCAGCCAAAAGTACATTTTTGTATTACTTTGTATTCTCATTTTAGTGACTTAAATCTTCTGACTTGGGTTAATGCATATTAAGTATTAAGAATAATAATTGATGTAGATGAATCAGTCTTTCATAATTACCATTGGGAGCCATACATTTTTAAAGATTATGGTGCTGTAACTCCCCATTAATTTGTCTACTTATTTTTGGTTCTCCAGCTTTTTCGGAAGATTGGATTCTTTCCCATCCCAGTAGAGATGGTTGTCCCTGTTTAGTTCCTACTGAGGGCATGGCAGTATAGGTACATACAGTTTTCTAAAGCAGTGCTTCTGAACTGTAATGTGCATACAGATTCCCAAGAGGTCTTGTTTAAAATGCAGATTCTGGTGGGGGCTGAGTATCTGCATTTCTGTTAAGGTCACAAGGTGCTCATGCTGCTGTTCTCCTGACCAGCAAAAGAACTGAGTAGCAGAAGTCTGATATACTCGGACGTGGGAGTACAGTTGGCTCTTCTAGAATATGACCCTTGAACTTAACTGCAATCAGTGGGAGACTTTGCATTATTGGCTGCTATTAAGTACATCCAATAGTACTAGATCTATTCCTTATAGACATAAAAGCATTTTATTATTTGCAAGTCACTGCTTACAAATGATTTCAATACTATATTAATGTGTGTATATATTTTAATAGTAACTATATTTTATATATTTATATTTAGCTAGTGCCTTTGAAGAAGAAAACAATATTCTTGGTACCTGCTAACTTCAGTTTGTAACATGCAGACAAATATAACCTCCTGTCTGTGGCCGGTAATCATCTGGATCCCATTGTGCATTGTTTCATGGTTATACAAACATAACACCGCAGAAGATACTATATACAGATTAATAACTAGCTTCATTGTAATGTTTGCTTCTTTGTAATTAGATATTAGCAAGCAATGAAAAACAATTAATGGCTTTTCTTTTCTCTCTTTTTTTAAAAATAGCTCAGTCACTAAAAGAATTTGCAAGGCTTCTTATTGCAGTGGAAGAAGAAAGGAGACGGCTGGTAAGTCTGCTCCTGATATTCCTTTGTTTGGACATATTAAAAAGAAAGTGTAGATCTCCTGATTTAGACGGTTATGTAAGACATTATGATTCGATACATGTGCTAAGTGTTACGTGTATTTGTGAAAAGATTCATGAGTATAATTATGAAATTCTGCAAATAAGGTATATTATTTGTTCTAATTATTTCAATTGATTACTACCCTTATTTTGCTTGCCATTCAGTTGTTTTGAGAATTAAAAATATTGAATGAACTACTATTAAGAAACCCAATCTAATTCAGCAAACTTTCGGAAGTTATAGAAACCTCAATGGTATAACAAAGACACGTTTCAAACCTAAAGACAATTCATGGGAAGAGCTGTGCTAATTTGCCTGGGTGTTATCACGGGACTTTTCTGGAAAGGTGATATTTGAGTTGGGTCCTAAAGGCTGGGAGGATTTTGCTAGACTGAGAAAAAAGCATTCTAGTTTGATTGATTAATTTCTGCAAAGGTATTAGAGCACAGTTATTGGTAAAACATTTATCCACTTAAAAATATAATTTTGAGGTTGGCACCCATTGCTCAGTGCTTAGGGTGCTGGCCCCATACACCGAGGCTGGTGGGTTCGAGCTTTGCCTGGGCCTGCTAATCAACAGTGACAATTGCAACAACAACAAAATAGCTGGGTGTTGTGGTGGGCGCCTGTAGTCCCAGCTACTTGGGGGGCTGAGGCAAGAGAGTTGCTTAAGCCCAAGAGTTTAAGGTTGCTGTGAGCTGTGATTCCACAGCACTCTACTGAGGGTGACATAGTGAGACTCTGTCTCAAAAAAAAAAAAAAGATAAATATATAATTCTGTTACCCTGGAAGTGAGAACAATATAACCTAAAAATTTGTACCTTCATATTAATTTGAAATAAAAATTAAATTAAAAAAATATAATTTTGTATCTGTCATATTCAAAAGAAATTTGCATTTGATGGTCCCTGTCTATGACCCAGTGTTCTCCTGTGTAATAAGGGAAAACACTGGTGTGCACCCCACAGAATTGCTGTAAAGGAAATATACCCGCCACGTGGTAAATACGTGTTGACTGATAATGATGTTGAAGGTCGGTTATAGTGAGGGTTAGAGACTTAGTTAAGTATTTTTTATTTCATCGGCTTCGCCATCCTGTCCCCTTCTACACACAGGCATACATCATTTCTTCATGCTTTACTTTATAGTGCTTCACAGATACCGAGTTTTTCGTATAAATTAAGAATTTAGGACACCCCTGCTTTGAGCAAGTCTATGGGCGCTATTTTTCTCACAGCATGTGCTTGCTTTGTGTCTCTGGGTCACATTTTGGCACTTGTCACAATGTTTCAGACTATTTCATTAATATTCATTGCGAGTGATCTTTTGGTGTTGCTATTACAAATGTTTTGGGGTGTCACAAACTGTGTCCTTATAGGCTGGTGAGCATGATCAGTGAAAGCTCTGTGTGTTCTCACTGCTCCACCGACTGGCCATTCTCCTGTTTCTCTGTCTCCTTGGGCCTCCCTATTCCCTGAGATACAACAATATTGAAATTAGGCCAATTAATAACCCTTTATTGTCTTGTAAGTGTTCAAGTGAAAGGTAAATCAAAGAAAATGCCGTCAGACAGCTCTGCATGCTCTGGAGAAATATTTTGTCAAAGGAAGAAATAATTAAGCTCAGTGAGGAAGCCATGGCAACAGCTGAGATAGGCCAAGAACTAGGTCTCTTGTGCCAAATAGTCAGCCAAGTTGGGAATGAAAGGAAAAAATCCGGGTGGAAATCTAAAGTGCTCTTTCATTAAACACACAGACAATAAGAAAGGAAAACAACCTTGTTACTGATACAAGTAGATTTTAGTTGTCTGGATAACAGATCACGTGAACCAGGATGTTCCCTTAAGCCAAAACCCAATCCATAGTGAGGCTCTAACTTTCTTCAATTCTGTGAAGGTTGAGAAGGGTAAGAAGCTGGGGAAGAAAGTTTGAACCTAGCGTACGTTGCTTCATGAGGTTTAAGGAAGAAACCCTCTGTGTAACTTGACAGTGCGAGGGGGGCACTGAGAGGGGATGTAGAAGCTGCAGCAAATTATTCGTGAGATTTAGCTAAGATAAATAATGGCATTTTAGTGGAGGTGAAACAGCCTTCTATTGGAAGAAAATGCCACCGTGGACTTTCATAGCTAGAAGAGAGAAGGCAGCGCTTTGCTTCCAAGGATAGGCCCACTCCATGGTTAGGGGTGAATGCAGCTGATCATTTTAAACTAAAGCCAAGGCTAACCTGCCATTCTGAAATCCTAGGCCCCTGAGAATGATGCTCCATCCACTGGTCCTATGCTCTCGATACAGAACACGAAGTCTGGGTGCTGGCACATTGTTTTATAACATACTTTACTGAAGATGTTAAGCCCATTGTTGAGATCTACTTTTCAGAAAAAATGTCCCATTAAAAATATTACCGCCCATTGACAATGTACCTAGTCACCTGAACTCTGACGGAGGTGTACAAGGAGATCAATGTTGTTTTGACACAACATCCATTCTGAAGCCCTTTGATCAAGGAGTCCTTTTGACTTTTAAGTCTTAGGTTTTACGAAGTGTATTTCATAACATTATAGCTGCCATTATGTAGTGATTCCTCTTATGGATCAGGGTGAAGTCAATTGAATATCTTCTGGACATAATTTCCTATTCTAGATGCCAGTAGTGTTTCATGGGAGGGGATCAAAATATCAGAAGTGATCGAAGGTTAGAATAGTCACTTCCAGTCCTCATAGATGGCTTTGAGGGGGTTGAGACGTCGGTGGAGGAGGTTAGTCATTGCAGATGTGTTAGAAATAGCAGGGGAACTAGAATTGGAAGCGGAGCCTGAAGTGTGGCTGAATTGCTGCAGTCCCCGGGGAAAAGGGGAACACAGGAGTTGCTTCTTATGGATAAGCAAAGAAAGTGGTTTTTGAGATGGACTCTACTCCTTCCTGGTAGAGATGCTATTAACATTTTTGAAATGACAACAAATAATTAGAATATTCCATTAACTTAGTCGATAAAGCAGTGGCAGGTTTGAGAGAATCGATTCCAGTGTTGAAAGATCTACGGGTAAAATGCCATCGCAGAGCTCTGCATGCCATAGAGAAATATTTTGTCAAGGAAGAGTCTTTAGGTGCAAAAAAACTCCATTTTTGTCTTATTTTAAGAATTGCTGCCACCATCCCAACTTCAGCAGCCACCAACCACCCTGATGAGTCCAGGGCCATCCACACGAGGCATGTTGCTTCCACCAGCAGCAAAACCTTATGACTTGTTGATTGTTATTTTCAGCAATAAGGTACTTTTTATTTAAGATACACTATTTTTTTAAAAATCCGAGTGACTTGCCTTATGGTGACATTTGCTCTGCTACTGTAGCCTGGAACTGAACCTGAAGTTCAAGGCATGTCTGTAAATGTAATACGCAGGTGTGGGGTAAATGTTCTTGAGATGTGGCACAGTTTGGTGTCATTTTTCTAAATTTTTTTTTAAAGTAGTTTGAGGAGAATTTTTTTTTTTATTGAATGGTAACTATGTACATTAATGCACTTCTGGGGTACAGTGTGGAAGAGGATGGTTTTAAGGTGATTTAAACCCCAGAGGCAGTCCAGAAGTAGGGTGTAGCAGTTCTGTAGATGTTATGGGAGAAAGTGCTGCGTGTATTTGTCAAATAGGCAGATGGTTCTTAGGAGGGACCAGTAGAAGGTCAGTTGGTAGGTGTGGCCGTCTGCGGGGTGTAAGTGCTAGGGAGGCCAACACATTTTTGGTATTTGTGGGAGAACTGCCAGAAATTTTTGAAGAAAAGAATGAGAAGATCAATATAGGATTCAGGAGAGATTAATTTGGCAGCCATGGGGAGAGTGAGATAAGGTGAGGAGGAAAGGTCCTGATTGGCGGTAGTGGTGGTAGACTGACCATCTTGTTTTGGATGGGGAATGTTAGCCTACTGGTGTCATAGAGATAGCTGTGCCTTGTGACCTGTATTGCTAGATACATATATACCTTTATGAAATACTAACCTTTTGTGGGGGGGAGGGTTAAGAGAAAGCTTTTTTTTGAGATGGAGTCTCACTTTGTCACCTTGGATAGAGTGCCATGGCATCACAGCTCACAGCAATGTCAAACTCCAGCCTCCCGAGCAGCTGGGACTGTAGGTACCTGCCACAGTGCCTGGCTATTTTTAGAGACACGGTCTTGTTCTTGCTCAAGCTGGTTTGGAACTCCTGAGCTCAGGCAGTCCACCTGCCTCAGCCTCCCAGAGTGCTGGGATTACAGGCATGAGCCAGTGCACCTGGCCTAGAGGAAGCTTTTTTGTGGAGATGACCTTGGTCTGAGTCTTCAATCCTAAATTGACACTGTTTTAATTACTTTTGCATCATCTTTTCCTCTACTTCTGTGAGCGACATGATAGAATTCTAACTTTCACGGGGAGACCTGGGGAGTGTAGCATGTTCACTTATGGCCAAAAAGAGGAGCTGATAACAGAAATGGGAAAGAGTACGTAGAGAGATGTGAAAATTAAAGTTGGAAATGGCACAGAAGCCAAGGGAATACACAGATCCAGGTTGGCAAGGCTATGACTCAGATCCTGTGCACAGAGTTCAGGAGAGCAATAAACCAACTACCACGGGTTATAATTTTAGAAAATTTTAGAAAATGTTTTGGTTTAAAGAACATGAGAACGTGTGTTGTAGCTTGTGGGAAGAAAGAGAGCCAAGGCAATGATATAGCACTGAGGAGACTTTGTACCAGGGGTGAAGCTCCTCCTATAAAGTGGGTGAAAAGGAATAGAGGATTGGTGCAAACATCGTTGAAATTTGCAACAATAAGTTGGTTGGTCGGACAGGACAGGTAGGGAGTTGTGTTAGTAAGGAGTGGTTATCTACTGTGGCCACGGGTTTATAGAAACAGTTCAGAGCAGCCAGGGGCAGGGTATTCCAGAGAAGGTAAAGGAAGGTTTGGAGATCCTAG